TGGTCTCCCAAGCCCGTATGACAATATATTAACATGTAAGTTTGGCCTTCAGAATCCTGCAGGATATCTCTGATGGTCGCCATTTCTATTCCCAGTCGAATTTCTATACACAAGATCACGTGATTCATCTCACAGCAGGATGGGACTTTGCATAACATCACAGCTTGCTGTAATGGTACATTTCTTTGCTGGGCCCACTGTTTCACAAAGGAGGGAGTGGCCTGAGGACTTAACCTATTCTCACTGGTTGTACCCCAATACATCTCAGCAGTGCCTCCATCTGTAACGGGGTTTTGGGGGTGCCCCCTAGTGTCTTTGGGGTCCCCAAACCTAGTTAACTCACTATGCCTGACAGGCGGATCCTGAGCCTCCGCTATCTGGGAGCTGGGGTACATGTCTGCGGCAGTGCCTCCACCCAGTGGAGCATCCGGGGTAGGGATGTGGGGTCCCACTGGGAACATACTTGGTGCAATGAGACTGACACAGTCTAACTGGGACTAACTTTATATGGTAAGTAGCAATTGAACCAACATACATAGGAAAATACAATAGAGTAACACAGATAACAATGCAAATGGGGATTTTCCTCACTCACCCACCAGCACACCTGCGCCCCACCCCCTTATCTTCGCCCTAGCGGCCGTTGGTGCACATAGGAGAGTTGGGGCCCTTATAAGTCCTGCTTCACAGGGTCACTGAAGCAGCCTCAGATGTGTAATGTCCGTCACGGGACCTCAGAGTCTTTACTGTGAGTGAGGAGACAGGTGCCCTGTGGCGATACAGGGAGAGGCTTGGCTTACCCTCACAACACGATTAACCAGTCAGTCAGCAGCAGTCTCCTCTCACTGGATTCGCCAGACGTCTGGACTCAGTGCTTGTCTTCTTTCCTTTCCTGCAGGTCCCTCTCTCAGCTGGTGTGATCTTGGGTGAAACAAGTTCTCTCAGCCAGGTCCTATCTCTGTGCTACAGTCTCTCACATGTCCTCTCTCTGGCTCAGCATGTGGTCACTCTTAGAATCCTCCTCCCTCAGAGCTGTGCAGGAAGTCCTGACAGGTCCTGCAATGATGCCACACTCCTCTCTTGATTTCAGCAAGTCATGTGATCAAAGCTCAATGTTTTATTAACAGCATACTGAGTCCATGTGCCATCTACTGGGCATTTCAGATAATGCAGCCTGTGTAACTTCACGGGCTACATACGGCTTTGTCAAAATATAAAATTATTGAAAAAGGTTTTCCAAGAATATTAAATAATTTTAAAATCTTATCCACAATAATGAAATGTAGACCTAAATCAGGGTCAACCCCTCAGGGTCAATCTTTAGGGTCAACCCCTATATGGGAAGATGGGATTCAACACAATTTTGCCCGCCCTGGGGGGCAAACCTGTTCACTATTTTGAGCTAACGACAGCTGAGTGACATCAAGTGGCTCTTTGGGGAATAGCAAGCATTTCAAGTAAATGTCCACATTATAAAATCCAGGCTAAGTAGAAAAAGGACACTATCATTCTAGAACATGTGGCTCCTTATGGTTTGCCCAGGGACAGGGCTATTCCAGTATATTTTAGTGACTCCATTATCAGCTGTAACTGGGAAAGGCATTCAGAACTAAACCAAATATTTTATTTACTCTGCTTAACTCCTGGACTAGTATCCAAAATATGGTCACTACTCGGTTTAAGAGGTCCCCCAATGACTTCAATGTAGAAACCAAATCTAGAGGGGGGTGTTTTATAATAATCCCAGCTCCTATTAGGGAACCTTAATTACGTCGACTAAATACGAAGTCATTTCTAAACACATTTATTAAAGTTTAAACATGTCTTTCTGTGTTATTTCTGCGAATCTCCACGCATGCGCCAATGCCCAATTAATACTCTGATTCCTCTTCTGCAACTGTCACTAGTCTAATACTATCCTTACCTTTTTGTGTCATTTTACCCCACTCCCTCTAGCATGTAAGCTCATTGAGCAGGGCCCTCAACCCCTCTGTTCCTGTGTGTCCAACTTGTCTGGTTACAACTACATGTCTGTTCATCCACCCATTGTAAAGCGCTGCAGAATTTGACGGCGCTATATAAATATCATCATAATAATAATAATACTCGATACTTTCGATTGGGCAAATAACAAGAAGAAGATGATACGGCGCCATGTCTGGTGTCACCGCGTGGAAGGGAACCGGGACAACGTGACCCAGTGCTGGATTTAAAACATGTTGTAAACATTAACATTGTCATTTTTTTTTTTTAAGCGAAAATTGGTGGTGGGGGGGATCTAAAGTAAATGTTACAAACAACAAAATAAAGCACAAAAACGGTTACTGCAATAATGGGTTGAAGTAGCCCTTTAATAAAAAAATAATAATTATATATTCTACATACCAGGGATTGGCAGCCTTCGTCACTCCAGATGTGGTGGACTACATCTCCCACAATGCTCTTACACCCATAATGCTGGCAAAGCATCATGGGATGTGTAGTCCAAAACATCTGCAGTGCTGAAGGCAGGGCCGGACTGGCCCACTAGCATACCGGGAAATTTTCCGGTGGGCCGTCGGCACCTGGGGCTGGGAGGATAGCTGGGTGTAATGGCAGCCGCAGGGAGAGTGGTAATGGCGGCCGCAGGGGGAGCTGTAATGACGGCCGCAGGGGAGAGCTGTCTGTGCTCCCCTGCCCTTGCGCACTACTTAATGAGACCGGGGCTGGAATATGACGTCATATTCAGGCCCCGGTCTCATTAAGCTGTGTGCTGGGGAGCAGAGACAGCACAGACAGCTCTCCTCTGCGGCCGTCATTACAGTTCCCCCTGCGGCCGCCATTACCACTCTCCCTGCGGCCGCCATTACCACTCTCCGTTCCTGCGGCCATTACACCCAGCAAAACATGGGTTGTGCCAAACTTAGGCAGCATGTGCCCCAAGCCCAAGGTCCCAACAAGAAGATGAGCAAGGTGGAGACCCTGAGATCAGCAGTTCCTAACACTACACTGCTGGGGATAGCTAAGAGGTTAGTGCACCTGACTTCATTTTCCTTCGTTGTATATTGGGAATCTTCAGAGATTAAACCTGTCAGTGTCTTCTAGTGACTCCTTAAACATAATTGCCAAGGACAGTTTGTGGCAAGTACACACACACAAATAGACACACAAGCACCCTGACATACACAGAAACACTCAAAGAGATATACACATGCTAATACACACACAAACTCCCTGACAGACACACACACACACACACACAAACAGCAAGACTCAAAGAGATACACACATGCTAATACACACACAAGCACCCTGACATACACACACACTCACACACCTAGACTCAAAGAGATACACACATGCTAATACACACACAAGCACCCTGACATACACACACACACACACACCTAGACTCAAAGAGATACACACATACTAACAGACACACACACTGAAAGAATCTCACACAGACATACACATATTCCTCTCCATTTTCCCGTGGGTCCGACTCCTGAAGCAGCTACATTGGCTGTAGTTCCCCCCTGATTTGTGGGACAGAATGTTTAGTTTTCCTGGGACTGTCCCAGCAAATTTAGGACTGTTGTCCACTATCCTTATGGCTGGGATAATGCACAATAGAGTGTGTTTGATTGTCTAGAGCTGTACTACAGTACTATTGACATCTTATCAATGATATTACAATATTATTTTTTTTATTATTCAATGTACTCATTTATTGTCAGGTTTCAGACTTTATCACAAAGTTTATATTCATTTGCTATCAAATAATAGCAGATGTGAATGTCGATTTTCTGCAGCACATTTTACTAATCCAGTCTGGTTTTATTTTTCTTACTTTCAAAATATGTAAACGGACTTTGGTAATGTAGTCATGCTGGGTACTTCTTTATATTTATCAATGACATATTAACATCTAAATGGAAAGAACTCTGCAACATATACTACTTTATTTTAATAGTGGGACTTTGTGTATACATAGGCATACGTTTTCTTTTAACTAGATAAGCTACCCCAAAATGACACGAAATGAGCACTACAGAACTAATGGGAGGGGAAGTGAGGGCTGTTTGGACATCCGTTAGGGCAATGGGTATTCAATCTTCAGCACTCTAAATGTTAAGGACTACATCTCCCATAATGCTTTTACAGCCATAATGCTGACAAAGCACCAGGTGACACAGGAAGCACCTCTAGTGATCGTCTGAGTGACTGTCACTAGCGGTGTCACTTTGAAGCAATGTAAACACTGCCTTTCCCTGAAAAGTCAGTGTTTACATTGAAAAGCCTGCAGGGACGGGCTATAGACACCAGAACCACTACATTAAGCTGTGTGTGTGCGCCTGCTAGTGAGTGAGCTTATGTATATCAGTGAGATTGTTTGTCTATGAGGCTGTGTATCAATGAGCTTGTGTGTGTCAGTGAAATTGTCTGTGTCTGTATGTGCGTATGCTTACTGTATAATTAAACATTTTACTCTTAATAAGACCAATATTTTATATTAGAAATAGCAATATATATTTTATATATATATATTACTCAATCATCATGGCGTGGCAAGATATAGCCTTACATATTGCACGCGACAATATATGGCGCAGTGACTTATGGGGCTGGCATAGTTTTTTTTTCCAGTGCTGCTCTGTATCCCCAGTCCGGCCCTGGCTGAAGGTTACCTATCCCTGCTAGATAATGGATTTACTACAATTCCCGTGAACCTCTGTACTAAGCCCCGCCCCTATATTGATAAAAAAGCGTCATGCCATCTCTCTACTTCCATGTCTTGGTTATAATCCCCGACTCTGTAAAAACCCTAGCTTGTCAAGCCCCGCCCTAACAAGGAAATAGTTATTGCATAAACCACGCCTCTCGCATTACCACGCCCAGTTATTGCCATTGCCACGCCCAGTTATTGCCATTGCCACGCCTCTGGTTCATTCTGCCCTTGTTCTCTATGTGTACAGCAGCCATGTTATCTCTAAGCCCCGCCTCCTCCCAGTGATTGCGTCACGTAGCCCCGCCCCCGGTCGCTCTGGACGTGCCTGCTGTCATATATCGCTGTGACGGTGCGGGCTGCACTTTGCGCGGTGCGAGCTGTCAGTCACACGCCATGTCCCAGCTGCTGCTGCTGTCCGCTGTGCGGGCTGGTGCCGGCGGCCGTGCTCTCCGGGGCTCCTGCTCGCTCCGTGCCGCCCGGGCGCTGCATGGCTCCTCGTCCCGCGGCTCCCAGGGCCGCTCGCTGCTCATGGCGGCCGGTTCGGCGGTGGTGGCCGGGCTGGCAGCCGGGTACAGCCGTTTCCAGCGGGCGGAGATGGCCCCCAGGAGCCTGCCGCCGGTCAGCCCCCAGGGAGAGCTGGAGAGGCGGTGTGAGGGCTTCATGGCTCCCCCTGTCACCGGGCTCCAGGAGCTGCAGGCAAACCGCGCCGACATGAAAACCCAGATGGAGCTGCTCATCATGGAGACCCAGGCAGAGGTATGCCGGGCCCTGGCAGCGGCTGATGGAGGGGCCACATTCATTATAGACAGCTGGCACAGGACTGAAGGTGAGTGCTGGACCTCAGTGTTGGCAACCATGGGCACCAGGGAGAGGTATTGGCCAGCCTGGCACTGGGGGGGTATTGGTCAGCCTGGCACTGGGGCAGAGGGGGCGTATTGACCAGCCTGGCACTTGGGCAGAGGGGGAGAGGAATTGGCCAGCCTGGCACTGGGGCACCAGGGAGAGGAATTGGCCAGCCTGGCACTGGGGCAGAGAGGGGGGGGTGTTGGCCAGCCTGGCACTGGGGCAGAGGAGGGGGTGGTTGGCCAGCTTGGCACTGGGCGGGTATTGGCCAGCTTGGCACTGGGGCAGAGGGGGGGTGGGTATTGGCCAGCCTGGGGTGGGTATTGGCCGGCCGGCAATGGGGCAGAGGGGGGGGTATTGGCCAGCCTGGGGTGTATTGGCTGGCCTGGCACTGAGGAGGGGGGGTGGGTATTGGCCAGCCTGGGGTGTATTGGCTGGCCTGGCACTGAGGAGGGGTATTACCAGCCTGGCAGGGGGGTTTGCTCTTTGGATTTCAGTTTGCTGCCATTTGTCATTTCCTAAATAAATCCCAAAGTGTATATTTACAGGTTTTTTTTTTAATGGACCTACAGTAGATGCGAGAATTTTCGATGTGGGAGAGAAATCCAGTTTGTCAGGAAACACATTGTGCTGTATCAGTCTAAACTAATTTATTAAAGTAAATATTTGAAATGATTGCACTTGGTCTAGCCGCATAGACTGTACATTTGTATTTCAGGTCTTCTAGACTATGTTGTGTTTTTAATGTTCTGCATATATGTGAGTATTGCAATATCGCCTGATTCATAGACCATACACTTTGTATTCCCTGTTACAGGTGGCGGAGGTGTAAGCTGTGTATTGCAGGATGGCAATGTGTTTGAAAAGGCAGGTGTCAATGTATCTGTCGTTCATGGTTACCTCTCAGAGGAGTCAATTTTACAAATGAAAAGCCGGGGGAAAAACCTTAAGACCAAAAACGGTATACTACTTACTCATTAAGACAAAAATGTTGTTCAGCTAATTTTGATATAAGATTCTTATGACTTGGTTTCATTTGAGCGATAATAAATCTGGAAGAATTGAGCACAGCTTGGATGTACTTGTAGCATTTTTGCCCACAAGGTAGATCCTCGGATGTTTTAAAACCTCTTCCTTGATGCTTTCTCATTCTAAAGAAATTCCAAAGACATGCAAAGCATCATGGGAGTTGTAGTTCTACAACATTTTGGGATTTCCTTTTTGGGCACCCCTGACTCAGAGCAATATGTCCCCAAGTCTGTCTGTCTGATTGGTCTCCACTGTTCTCAGAGGGCTGTGCTCACTTACATAATTACAATATGTAGTTGCCTCTTACCACTTATATTTTGTCTTTTACATATGTGCTTTTGTGTAGCCTTAATTTATATATTGTTGTCCTTGTCTGTAATGATTTGTTTAAAAAAAAAATAAAAAAAAAATAAAAAAAAAACAGTGGGGCAATATATCCTTTTAGATAATGTATGTTACCTTGATGGCACCCTGGATAGCAGTGCTCTGAATATCATTTTTATGAAGCAAAGTCAAACTGATAAATAAGAGTGATTTTAACTGTAAATACCTACCACTACCATGTAAAGTATTCTGTCAAAATGTCAAACATCCACTGTGTTAATGTTTCTATAAATCCACAATGCAGCTCATGCATTTATCTGATATTTGCATAAAATCGGGTAATTACAGTTCTGTTATTCCAAAGTAGCCATGGTGAAAACATGGCAAACATAGTACATTTTTGCAGTTTGGTTATTTTTGTCTAAAATTTTTATGTTTAAGCATGATCAAAGACTAAAGCATACAAAAAATACATTACACTATGGAACATCTTGAAATGCTTAGTTTCTTGTTTTACTAAGAAAATACAGCAGCCTGTCTGATTCACCCAGCATGATTTTTATATATAATTTTTTCAATTATATTTAATTTTTTTATTATAAAGGTAAGCTACCATTCTGTGCCATGGGAGTTAGCTCTGTAATTCATCCCAAGAATCCTCACGTCCCCACAATCCACTTCAACTACAGATACTTCGAAATTGAGGAGGAAGACGGTAAGAGAATTTTATTTTTTTATTTTTTTTGTGGTGGTTTCATTGGTTGGTTGAACCTACAGAATCCTCACATTTACCTTCCCAGTGTTGATCTTCTGGAGTAAGTCTGTTACCTGATCATTCAGGATTTCACCTATGGCCTCTTAACTGCTAGCTGTGTTACAGTAATGCAGGTGGTGGCTGGGACCAGATTCACCCAAATGTGCAAACACTCCAATAAGTAGTTGGGGAGCCAATGCTATAACCACACATTCTTATAATAAATATAGGGAGTTGTTGCATATTCATGAAGGCGACTTTGAAAGATAATTGGAGCATATTTTTTTTGAGAATATACCAAAATTCAGAGGGAACAAGATACAAGCCATCAGGCATGAACCTTCTAATTTTTATTTTTATTTTTAACCTGCATGTCCTCAAGTGGAACATTTTTGTTTGTAAAACATTTAATGACAAATTTAAAAACCAACCAGTTTGGCTCACTTGATTTGGTTTTACTTTATTTTAAAAGGTAACAAGCAGTGGTGGTTTGGAGGTGGCACTGACCTTACCCCGACATATCTGAACAAGCAAGACGTTGTGCATTTTCACCAGACTTTAAAAGATGCCTGTGATAAACACGGCGCTGGGTATTACCCCCAGTTTAAGAAGTGGTAAGTGTATGGGACTTCGTTGGTTAGACTGGGAAAAAATTCTTTAGGACCAGCCCACACTCATGTTAAACTTAAAATTTTGCATAGATTGCTAACTCTGTGTCTGAAGATTTATCTTCTGCAAACCATAGCAGTCTTGCTGTGAACAGGTCAGCTTGTTTGGAAAGATAAAGGAAATATCACATGCTGCCTCTCTGAGTGCTGCTGATAAAGAGGGTGGGGTAATGGGGCGCATACTGGCACAAAATGCTTGTTTCTGGAAACAGGATGAACTTCACTTAACGTTTTTTTAATCTGGGCTAATTTGCCCTTCCCTCTTACACTGCAAGTCTTGTGTGTTTTAATGATATGGTGACATCACAGGCCTTTCGTAGCCCATCTGTGAAGCTGAAATGTTAATTTACCCCCTTAAACACTGTTATTCACAAAAGTGAGCATTGAAAGTGAATTTCAAAATAAAGTTACAAGTAGCTGAAACAGATTCTTTTGTCTGGCTACTCCAGGCTGAAATTTGAAATTCACTTTGGATTATCACTTTAGTAACTAGTCCTGCAAATGTTACTTTCCTTTCATCACAAAACTCCTTCCAGGTTATTCCCATTGCGATGTGTTTTGGGTATAGGGTGGTACTTTAAACACATTTACAATCTCTTTACTGCTTGACATCGGTTCCTCTGCATATGAAAATTAAACCACTCTGGTGCATAAGCACGTTGCTTCCAATTTCAATGCATTGTCTGTAGCAGCAGTGGACTTCTGTTTGGTTAAGTGACAAACCTGTAACACATAAAGTGCCTGAGCCAAGTGACTGAATTACCCAAAATAATCATTTGAGAAGTATGGATTAATCAGGAGTCCTGGAACTTTCACTCCTAGAAAATGTTCTATGTTTGTAACGACGATCCATAAATAGAGAATGTGGAAGCCTTTTTCAGATTAATGCTTGGCTTTGGTTTTGTTTTAGTTTTTAACATGTTAAAGTGCAAAAGTTTTTTTGTTTTTTTTGTTGTTGTTTGTTTTAATACCCATAACTGTTTGAGGTTAATCTTTACCACCTTTGGCTTACTTTGTAGGTGTGATGACTACTTCTTCATTAAGCATCGTGGAGAACGGCGGGGTGTTGGGGGCATATTTTTCGATGACTTGGACTCTCCATCAAAGGAAGAGGTCTTTAAGTTTGTGGAAAGCTGTGCCAAAGCTGTAGTGCCATGTTACATCCCTATAGTTGAAAAACACAAGAATGATTCCTTCTCACCAGAAGACAAACTGTGGCAGCAGTTAAGACGAGGGCGGTAAGTTTCTTTATGTATTTATTACGATATGCCAATATACAAACCTAACGAATACTTTGTGATGTATTTAGGAAATCTGGTCACTTCTGATGTGTGCAACATTGTCTGTATAAACCACTCTTCAAGATGCTGTCTTGTAGTATTCCTAGGGTTCCTTCAGTGAAATGTACATGCCAGCACCATTGTAGGGATCGACCGTCGGTCTGGCTGACATTCTGTATTTTCAGCAATATTGGTATCTGCCAATAAAGATGCCTTTTTTTTTTTTTTTTTTTCATACCTACAAACACTCACTGCATTCATTATACACACTACACACACGCACTGCGTTCACTAATCAAATACTCTCACTGCATCCACTAAACACACGTTCTTGAAAACATAAATTCTGACTGGCATGTATATTTTGTGCATTTACCTGAATAAAATTTTGGGGCATAAAATAATAAACCTGTTGAGTTAACAGTAGATTTATTTAGAAATGGTTACTTTGTACATTTACACTTTAAAAAAAAAAAAAAAAAAATCGGCTATCTGCCTGAAAGTTCAGAGTACCTAAATATCGGTCAATCCCTACACCATTGTATTAAACTACTTGACAAATTGAGAGTGCGTTTTGTTTCCAACGTGTATCGACTGTATAAAGTAAAACTATACGTTTGCATATTCCTGTTCATGTTCTCACTTGCTTCTTGTTTTCATTAACGTTAGATAAGAGCCTGATTAGAAAATATATATTAAAAATAAGCTGACCTGTTTATTTTTTATTTTTCTTCAGGTATGTGGAATTTAACCTTGTATATGACAGAGGGACAAAATTTGGTTTAGCAACCCCAGGATCCAGAATTGAAAGTATCCTTATGTCCCTGCCATTGACTGCCAGGTAAGTTGTCTTCATGCTTCCATAATTGTTGTAGAGATGGTCTGTGTTTGTTATGGGTGAAGGGGGCAGGTGTGATGCAAGTAATACAGGTTATTGAAGTATTGACTAAAGAGGACTTAAATTGTTAGGCCAACTAAAAACTTTTCCGCGTTGGAGAATGTTTGTTTTCATATTGGGTAGTTTGGCTTAAAGTTTACAATTTGTTCATTCTTAATTTATTTTTATTTATTTTTTTTATGTATTCCTCAGTTCAGTAACCTTATGCTAGTGAAGCGTTGGCACCATCTTAATGAATTTCCAAAGGTTTGTTCAGCAAACCTGTAACTGGGGAAAACTGTCTGGAGAATTTTCTTTTTTTTTGGGGGGCTGAACGAACTGTATTCAATATTCTCCAACTTAAAATGGTTTACACTTCTGATAGTCAGGCTTAAAATGTGCAACTAGCCAGATTTCAGTATATTGGATGCAATTCTTTATTAAAATCCCCACACTGAAAAATAAGGTTATAATGTATGGAATATTTGTCGCAATGTTTTTAAATCTCATTTTGTATGCTCCTTTTCAGATGGGAGTACATGCATTCCCCACCCCCAGATTCCAAGGAGGCTGAAATATTGAATGTTCTTCGAGAACCTAAAGACTGGGTGCAGTAGTGTCTGGTTTAATTTCACTGGAAATTTGAAGACCCCGAATTGCATGTTGCAAATCTACAAATGCCTTTTTCCATCCTTTAGCTTCTAGTTTCACGATGATGTTTAATGTGACAATAATTATCTGGTGGTCTTGGTGTATTGTAATCTTTGATCAGTTCCTTATGGCCACTTTATGGCCTGTAAACTATCAAAGTGCATACTGAGTAATGCAATTTACTATTGATTAGTAGTATCTCATATCTGTAGTCAGTGCCTTTTTATTACAAAAATACAAATCTTTGTCTAGTATCTTATAATACTTATAAATTTTGTAAAGATTTAAATGTACTCTGCAATGCCAAAATCACTATATGAAGCAGATATTACAGTACCCAGACACCAGTTGCACAGATTATGAAAACCATTAAGAATCACAAACTGTATTCATACTATTAAAGGGAAACTACAGACTTGTTAATTTTTTAAATAATTTCACTATTTATAGTTTGCCCACTGAATGTCTCACTGCAAATCTCTAGAACATGCTGCTACAGTGATACCTGCAGTGACTGTAATTAACCTGTCCACCTGGTCTAAAATTCCCTTTGGGATCTTTAGGATCACTTTGTATATCCAAGAAATTCTGCTGTGCAAGGGTTGTTTGGTATACCAGCAGTAGTAAGTGTATTTTTACTAGGTACTGATTTCATGATTGCCTAGATATCCGCTTTCTGTTTATATTGTACAGCGCTGTGGAATCTGTTGGCGTTTTATAAATATTATTCTGTAAAGCAGGTCACTTACACTGCACATAATTTAATGTGTCAATCTGTCAGACACGTTATCGTTACTATAGTTACTTGCCATGTCTTAACAAAAAAAACTATTGTTTTCATGAATAATTGATGCAGATTTCTGTGGATTTAAAATCCACAAATTAAGAGTACAGGGGGTGGGGGGCAGGGAAACTACTGATTGAGATTTTGTAAATTAAACTTTCTAGTAATAAAAATTTACATTGTGCCAGACATTGGTTGTCTAGGATTTAAAGTGGTCTCTTTGTATTTGTAAAATTCAGCTATGAACCCTCAACATGCATTTTATAGGACTCTATATTTATATCCACAATCAAAGTGCAATTTTTACAATAAAATATTCATAACTTTATGTAAATTTTTTTTTATGCAGTGTTATGATGTTCATAGGAAGTGCTCTATTTGTAGGAATCTGAGATGTCCATCACTGTCTAATATAAACAGCCTAATGCAGGTTTTAGGAAAATGCTACTAAGGGTCTCATAGCACAACCTTTCAGAACTGTGATTTACTAAAATTCTACTGTGGGATAAGGGGTTATAATATATAATGCCACATTTCACCATTTAATTAAATAAATGGCAAACCGGTCCTACCAAGTGATTCTATCTATCCTAATCTATCGCTTGATTTCCCCTCCACCTGGAAAGAAAATTGTATATTCTCAAAGGATAGCACTCATGGATTTCTTACAAAAAGAAAATTCACTTTTTATTCTATCAATGTTTTAGATTAGCAGTTAATCTTTCATCCAGACAAAAAATAAATTAAATTATTTTTCTAATTATATAATCTGCATGTGAAGATCTGACTTATAGTCCAAATTTTAGGCTAAAATGGCTGACCCACAGAATTATTCAAATTTAGCGTGTTTTTGTCCTATTTGAAATCTACTTTGAATTGGTGATACTTCACTCTGACAGCCATCCAATAGGAGGTGCCATAACAATGTTATCCATGATAACATTAAAATGTGCAGTCATCCAGGAGTAATTCACACCTTGCCTCGTACAGAGCCTTCCATGTGGCAGACAATGTAATAGAAGTGGCAGAGAAATCTAAAAATTGTCCCTGAGAGTCTCCCAATAAAATTAGTGGTTCTGCAAAGTTCCTAAAGGAAATAAACTGATTGCATCCTTGAATATGGGGACCTTGACTCTTTAGAATGTGCTCTGTATTTATGTTGCTGTGCATGGTGATTATCAGTTTGATCAATGGAACCTTCTTGCATGGAAATGCAACTTCAAACACTTTAGTACATTTTAAGCGGTATTGTCTCTAGCAAAATAATTGGATAAATCACAATGGAAGCAGGGACTCTTCTACCATAGTGGCTCTGCAATTGATGAGCTTGCCTCTCCTAAAGGTGTAGTTTGCCTATTTACATGACAGCGTTGGTCTGCAATCTTTGTCATCAACTGACTCCACTCAAGTGGAGGTTCTCGTGGGATCTTTCTAATGTAACCTCTTCCCTGGCTCTCCTTTGGGAGGGATTACAAGGGGTGCTTAAAGACTTCTCCCCCCCATCCCCAAAACAGCATAATTTCATCTCCTCACGTGCTCTACCTAAATACCTACAATGAGGTTCAAGTTAATATGTATGATGCAAGACAAATCCCCATGCTCCTTACCCTCCTCCATTGGTCAAGTCTTGCCACAAACAGCCAGGCTACACATTAGATTATACCCTCTTGATCTATATAATCTTTAGACTGGCAAGATGCAAACACTTTTGTTACGTATAGTTTTCTATTGGTGGATAAGAAACAGTAAAGGCATGCTGTTTCCTAACAGATAAACATGCACTGGTGTGAGATTCTACATTTTAGAACTTAAAAACTCATCTTTGTTAAATATTTAATAAAATAATATTCGTGGAAAGTGACTGGTCCCATTTTAGATTAGTTAATGATTATGTCTTTGATTTTATAATTTTTTTTACATCTATTTCAAGCAAGGCATAGTGCGGTTAATATTTGGAATACCTCTGTCATATTCTATCTAAATTGGAGAATCATGGGAAAAGTAGTCCACAACAGGAGGTGCAAAGAGTAGCGATCACACTTAACATTAGAAAGAAATTTAGATGAATTCCATTTGCATTTTGAGAAATTGCCTCAAACAAACCATTTGAAGATTAACAATAAAATGAGGACAATCTACCTAAATTCTCCAAAAATAAATTCCAGTTTATCAAAAGTATTTACTGTAATTTTAGACCTTGACATAAACTGATGGTAATGAAATATACACTGTAAATTCACAGTAATCCTCTGGGTGTGCTGGAGGTCACAGATCATTTATCTCTTATTTCATTTTTTTTTTTTTTATTGTTTTGCTTGCAATTCCATTAGGGATTATACCATAATTTATCACAATTAATCTTGTTGGGGGTGGGGGTTATTGTTCTATGCATAATCCCTTATATTCATGTTTGTGGTCTAACATGATTAGAAAAACGGTTTGCTTATTCATTTTTTAATTTTATTATAAATGTATGAAATGGTACAACTGATATTTTAGTGGCTGCTGATTGTATATATTTCACTAGCTGTGGTGTGCTCATCTATTTAAACATTTTGAATTCTCTTTCCGGAACACAGGAAAGCAATGGCTTTAAAATCAGATTGCCTTGCAACACCATCCTTTAGTCTACAAAGAGTCAGTGGCGTAACCTGGGAGGTCCCACAGTGGCAGTTACCCTGGGCACAAAATTCTTACGTACATTAAAAAAAGTAGCAATATTAAATTTTAAAAAGCGTGCCCTCACACACAAATCTTCTACAGTTTGAACATTCTACACAGTTTTCAACATGGTGGGGAAAATAAATGTCACCTAACATTTTACAGTATTTTTCTTGCTAATTACAGCCATGCTGTCCTCGTGTAATCAATATTAGTGAATGACATGACGGTTACTAATAGTGTGAATTCCCGTTTAAAGAATCCACTGGTATCTTCAAACAGGAAAGCACGCTATTAACCGTCATGTAAATGGCAATTTAATGGTATCATACTGGTGTGCCGGTAACTGGGGCTTGGATAGCCTCGCTCCTCCTTCCATAGCCACCTCATCTCAGCGATATGTGTCACACTGGGGAGTGCTAACAGTCCACGGGGCACAATACTTGCCTTGCTCCAGGAGCTGGCAATCCATGCTATACCAATGCTCAGAGGTAATCTTTTTTTTTTTTTTTTTTAAGAACTGTGTGTTCTAATGTTTTGCCTATTTGTTGCCCCCTGTGTACCATCTGCCCCCAAGTAGTGAAACACTATTAGAATAAACATTATGTAACAACATAACTGGATTTAAAAAAATACATATATTTTTTTTTTATCTTAATTCTCTGAAATGTATAACAACTTGCCCAGCAGTAGCACAGTATAACATCTCACAGGAAATAGCTGCTGTGGGGAATAAATGGGGATCGAAGTCTCATCATCCCAACCCCTCAGTCATTGTAATATCTTAATTTTCCAGTAGGGATTTCCAAGTCAGATCATCTGCTGCTGCTGGAGATTAAATCTAATCTTTGTCTTCTAACTGCACAATCCCTTGGTATCTCAAACTGTGCCATACTTACTATTTTGGGCTTTCAGATAACCGGGCTCTATATGCTGAGAAGTAACATTTAGGCCAATGTAAATGTAGCTGCGCATCAATGACATTACTTGATGAATGTAATCAAGTGAGGGAATAGACAGAGCCGAGCAACGTCTCCGTAAAATGCTAACCTGTCAGTATTTTATAATTATTCTTAGATTAAGTTATTAGAAAACAAGCTCTTAAAAATGTAGAATATAAAATTACCAATACTTTTTTGTTGAATCGGTATTGTCACCATTATAGGCATGACCAGAGGTGCTAAAGTTCCAGGTGTTAAAGTTATTTAGCCTCACGTCTCTATAGTTGGTAGAGGAGTCAAGAGGATATTAGTGATTTTTTTTATTTTACAACAGGCAGCTGCTTCTCAAATAAAGAGCATTAGTATAATGCTCCATCAGGCTACTTAGGGAAAGAGGATGGTGTCCCCCAAGATGACTGATGGTAGGAGTTGCTGGGGAAAACAACTTTGCTGCAAAACCCCTCTATTAGTAAAGTGGCATGGGGAATACCCAAATACTTTGTTTCAGGATATGCTTTCATTGAGATCCAGGAGAGAGTCAGCTGCACACTGTTCATGGGTAGAGAGAAACAGACAAGAAATAGAAAGGCAGGAATATGTCGACATCTCGCCAACTCTCTGTTAGTGCGGGGGTCATCAATTTCCCTTTGGGCTCAAAACCCAGGTGTTCTTGGAACCTAGCAACACCCCTGGTCATTAGTCTTAATGTTTGCTGTGTTCTAACATGTCCCCTATAGTTACTGTCCCCTGTAGAATGCTCTAAAATTGGGATTATTCTAGTCTTGGTGTTTGAATATTCCAGATTTGTAAAGAACATGCTTTTACCTTCTTTACTGACACTTCCAGCAGCAAGGAAACAATTAATAAAAGGACTAGAAAGAAACAATCAGCAACAAGATAGGCATACAAAACCCAAACAAAACCCAAATGAAGCTCCCCTACCTCCTCTTAGTTTGATGAGTGTCCTGGGGCTTGCAGAGCATCCAGAGATGGAAGTTTCTAGACAACTTGAACCAAGTCTATAGAGTGATCATGGTTAATAATGCCGGGTAAGCGTGAGGACATAACCTGACTCTCAGCATCGCCACAGGTATGCGAGGGAGCAGTGCTGGAAGATCATGAAGATTACTCCTCACCGTGTCGCCTCCAGTTTCCCCCTGTACCCCGAAATTGGGTAAAATAGTAGGCATCGCTTCTAGATTCCTGGGCAGCGCTAAGGTGGCCAGCCATCCAGCTCTTGCCCAAGGGGAACACACACACACACCACTGGGTGAGAAACAAGGGTCTACGTGGAGGAATGGTTTCATGAGTTTGGTGAATCACCCGGGCACCGAACTGAGGCCGAAAGGGAGGCATCTGAATTCCCACCGCCGACCAGCCAAGTGAAATTGATAAAAAGTCTGTCTCAGATTTGGACGGTGTGACGAAGTGCCCTTCGCCACGTGTGCCTGGAGAGGACTGCTTGCCCGCCTCTTGCCCTGTGACTATGGCCCCTGGGATGTTTTGCCCTTTAAAGACATGATTTGGGCATAATGGATTTGTGTTGTGCTGCTGCTGGCCCTTTAGGAACCATCTGGGGACATACTGTGGAGTTACTGGGTGGCCACCATTTCCTGTATCAGAAGCACATGGTGAGAACAATGGATGGAGGCCATTTTAACTCACAGACACTGTTTGGACTTTTCAACACGGTGCCATCTTGCCAGTATTTGGTGCACAGAGACATCGTGCAGTGGTTTTGGACTATACAGCAGGGGACACATTATA